GCTTTTATCTTAATAATGTGTTAACACAAAATGCGGGCAGACAATCTAGTTTCAATGAAAGGTTAAAACCTTTTAAGTCCAACACACTCCCATTGACAAACAAAATCACCATGCAGGGGTTGATTGTTCGAAAGCCGATAAGTTAACCTTTGATTAAGCAAACTTCCTAACAGTTTGTTTATAAATTTGGAAATATTTCTTTAGACATCTTGTCTGGATCAGTACCATAGGAGTTTTCTTTTCATAATTTTAAAACAAAAAGATACTGTATGTAGAAATACATAAATTTTAACTACGGGTTAGGGTTAATCCGGCTATGCAGGCCTTAAAATATCGGTCGGTCATGGACATTGTCCGACCCATTAGTGAAATTGTCCGACGTAGAGAGGAAACCACCAGACATTCTGTCCGACCAAAGTGAAATTGAGGTTTGTTTGTCCGACCTGAGTGTATTTGTGTCCGACCGAAACGTACCCTATCCCAGGACTAGAGGCTTGTATGTTAAATGGAAAATCAGAGTACCATAGACCTTATTCATAAATCGTGACGAGGCCTCGTATCCTAGGAAGCGGGGAAAACGCGGGGAAGCTCTGCAGCTTAATGGGTTAAATTAGGGTATGTAAGTGCTAATGGTAACTGAGACATGCACACACAGTCTGTTAATCCATCACAACATCACATCTTAATGGGTTCATGGAATACCGTAAATCTCGGACTATAAACCCTGGGCTATATATTTGGTGGGCTTATACAAAGGGGGGGGGGTTACAGTATATAGGAGGGATAGAGCTTATACATGGACATTCAATCTTTTGTGTTAGTATAATAAACAAGTCAGTCATAAACAGGAAAATAAACACATAGTAATAATGCACTTTGATTAATTAACAATGTTTTGTCGTTGACTTAAGCTATAAAGACAATGTTTTTAAATATTGTTCTCTGATATATTAACCCATTGAGCCACAACGCACCCCAGTGCGCTCTACTTTTTTTTCACTTGCCTAACGCCAAACGATTTTACTCGTCAATGGGAAAACTCTGCAGCTTAATGGGTTGACCAAAAAATTTGACAATGTCTCTGGTAAACCCATCAAGCTGCAATGCACCCCAGTGTGCCTTACTTATTTTTTTACTTGTCTTATGCCAGACAATTTTACTTGTCAATGGGGAAGCTCCACAGCTTAATGGGTTAATTAAAAGACAATGTCAATGTTGAATAACGTAGTGGGCTACTGGGCTTATATTCGGGGCGGGGGGCTGAGTTGTATAGGTTTTCATTGACTGGTGCATAACACCTCTAACAGTGAAATAGATTTTTTCATTGATTGAAGAATTTGGACATAAAAAACCTAGATATATAAAAATTAGAAACTTATGAAAGTAGCAGTTGATTTGAAACAAGTGGTTACATTTTCTCAAACCATGTTTAGCTGGGACATGTGTACTTGAGCATATGATGATTGAGTAGATGCCAAGCTATATTTATACTTTATACCAGAAACATTGTTATCTGGTAGTCTGTCATATATTCATATACACAAATATTAGTTGCCCTTTATACAACAAACATAATTTAATATAAAGTCAAATGTAAGCCTTCTATAAAACTAATATATCATCTTTTTAATTCAAATATTGTCGCGGCAAATTCAAATTTTAAACATGAACACATGCTCAAAATTCATGAATGAAGATAGCGAATATTTACTTTCAAAACTGCTCCATTATACATATAACATAACAATATGCTTACCTGAATGTTATTCAGTCATGCTCGCTGTTACCTCTTCGTTCAAATCATTCGTCGTCGCTTAAAAAAAGCGAATTTTTCGAACCATAAATTCAGAATGAAGGCTTGAAAAATATGGCGTAATGGCGGTGTGAATAAATGACGCTATCCCGGGAAGCTTTGCGCGCGTAGTACGAAAACTAGGCACCAGTCTGTAAAATCGCGCTCATCGTGAGAATTTTCGTTTCTTTCGATCCGAAGAGCTTCAAAAGGCCAGTTACCGGCTATATTTCAGATATTAATGGTGTGCTAAAGACAGATTAATCTCTTAGAAAATAAATAGTCCCAGTAATGCTCTTACTACATGCGAAAGAATAAAATACTACACAACAAATATCAAACGGTTATTAGACACGTAAAACTTGATATCGCCGGCAAAGTCGATATCGCCATTTACATCTACTGTATATATCCGAAAAACATATTATAGCATACATTACCGTGATTGATGACTGGATTTATTGTATGTTACTAAAAAGCATTTTTCAGTACACACCGTGCACGCGTGTTTTCCAAAATCGGCGTAGGGTGTGTTATCTAACACACCAAGATGTGTTTTTGCAAATTAGTATGAGGTGTGTTCTCGAACACACCAAGGTGTGTTTTCATTCAAAAGGTGTGTTATTGAACACACCTTATATGCATCAAAGGTGTGTACGAAAAGGTGTGTAAAATACAGGTGTGTTTCTTAGCACACCTAGGTGTGTTTTGTTACACACCATGGTGTGTTTTCTAACACATCATGGTGTGTTTTCTAACACACAAAGGTGTGTTTTCTAAAATTGTATAGGAAGGTGTGTAAAATGTACACACCTTGGTGTGTAATTAAACACACCTTGGTGTGTAATTAAACACACCTTGGTGTGTAATTGAACACACCTGTTTTTAGAGTGTTTATTGAAGGAAATAATATTGCTTTTTGCAAATACACATCACCGTATCAACGCTACTATTTTGTTACGTTTTGTTCCAAAAATGTTGCATGTCTCTGGGGAGTTGCTTAATTGTTATGTCTTATGGAGTTGTATGGTTTGATTGTGTTTCATATAATTCTCAGTTTACTCCATGAACTTGCCAAGATTAAGAAACGGCAAAAGAGTTTGGGTGTTCTTAACAAGATTTCAGAACGTTGCAGAAGTTAGAAGAGCTTCACAATTCCGTTGTGACAGCATGCCCTAATTCAGAACTACGAACGATCCAATGACGATCCTTCGCGATGCAGTGGTCTCATGAAATAAGGAAACGTATTCGTGCTAGGAACACACGCGAATTTCGGACGAATGAATCTTGCTTGTATTTTGTAGATATAATAATACTTTGTTTCATAATAAACAATTTGTCAAGTGTCATTTATTTACTGGTAATAGTGCATGTTTCAGTCGGGCAAATCTTGATTAATATTTGATACGCCGATTTTTGCATATTTCAGACACATCCAGAAATATCCTCCCGAATTTAAAGATTAATATCTCCGTGAATTTTTAAGTGAAATACAACTGTAATATATCAAAGTCTAAGTTAGTCCTTCCTCTATTTGATGCAAGTTATTTCTCTTTAAAAGCTATACTTGTTTAGATGTTATTACGAATCAAACAGGAGTACTTTTTTTTGGGCCACCCGGTATAATTTTTACCCTTTATATATCCGAAACATCAAAAGTTTGGTTATGCTAACACATATCTTTCATTTTCCACAGAATACACACATACGTCTTCTTGGAGAGTATGGAAGCATATACATTTGATGATTTATCTATGCTTCAACAGGATTTCTTTCATCGCAAAACAAACAGTTCGCACCGTCCATTACAGAACATATTGTGTCATAATGCACAGGAATCTTCATATCGATTTGTTAACCCGGAAATTAATTATATGAACCAAGTTATACACGAGTATTATTCTCCAGATCAATATATGTACCTCGCTGATTCTTCTAAAACTCATTGTTTTATGGCTCTTGAAGTTGACCTTGTTGAAGCATTGCTGCATGAAATCTATCATGGTATGGAATTTTTGAGTAAAAAAGATATCATAGATTCTGGGGATGGGACTTTCCACATTAAAATATCTAAAATATGGGGCCACTTCTGTTTTTATTTTATATCAATGATTTACCGAACTGTTTACAACACTCTACAGCACGTATGTTCGCCGACGATACTAACATTACAGTGTCCGGTAAATCAATTAAGGAAGCTGAGGTGGCCGTTAATGCTGATCTCAATAATATCAGAGAATGGCTTCTATCAAACAGGCTTTTAAAATGGCTTCTATCAACCGCGTGTTTTTATTGGGGATGAACCAATTAAAGGGGTTCAAGTTACAAAAACTCTTGGAGTCAAAATTGATCAATTTTTAACTTGGGACAGTCATATTGACCAAATTTAAAAAAAAATCTTCTGGAATAAGTGCCATGAAAAAGATAAAGGATTTCACTAATTCTGATACTTTGAAGTCAGTCTATTATGGTCTTGTCCAACCCCATTTCGACTACTGTTGTGAAGTTTGGAATTCCATTAATAGAGGCCAGTCTGAACGACTACAAAAACTTCACAACAGATGTGCTAGAATTATAATGAACTTTAAAGATGAGCCTGGGCAATCTCAACTGGCCCTCGATCAATTAGGGTGGATAAGCTTGGAAGAAAGGCGAAAACATATTATGGCCCGTTTCATGTTTAAGATTGTCAATAATTTGGCATCATCGAGGTTCTCATCAATGTTCCAGAATTCTAACCATATCCACAGTTATAATTTACGAGGTTCAAATTCGTCTCTCTTTCTGCCACGACCAAATACCAAGTATGGCAGAAAATGTTTTCGATATAGTGGGGTTAAAATCTGTAATAGCATTCCTGAACAAGTAAGAAACAGCGAATCTTTAAATTCTTTCAATAGAAATATTTCCTCTGTTAGTCTGACGAATTAGCTATTTGACTTTTGTATACCATTTGTTTTGTAATATGTATTTGTATTCGTAGTTCTTAATATCCTTAGTGATTTTGTATTTTATATATTTTTGTTACATAATTTATCTACGCCCCACTTGGAAAGCAGCTCCGGTTGAAGTGGCCAGCGTAGTCAAATAAAGTTTTATCTTATCTTATAGATTCGGGTTTAAGCCAAAATGTTCCAACGACATTAGATGATTTGCCAACCATACCAGACGTAGACCTAGCAACGACTAAAGAATGTTATAAAAGTGGATACCCCGTGGATCAGACGGGATTAGACTGTTTTGATGATACTTTTGGAGATTATTGTATCATGTTGTGTGAGGAATTTGGGGATAAAGACTGCAACAGAACGATGTCCAAGTCTGTGGCCCCTAGCGGCCAGGTGCAGAAAACACTAAAAAACAAGGAAGTACCGCTTTTATTGACTTCTCCCTACAAAGACGAAGTCGCTGAGATACTCAAAGATGCATTAGAGGACGGAAATTTTGGAGTGGTCCCATTTACCAATGATGATAAGAAGAATAATACATCATGTAAGGCCAGTAAGGGTATATATGAATTACCAGATCTCGAGTCACAATGCAATTTAAGTCGACACATAAGAACAGAGGAAACGTTTGTGAAAGCCGAGGGTAACAAACCTCAGGGTATGAAGCGATCAGGTTTAAAACGAGTACGTGAAGAAGAAAAAGACGAAAGGTACTGGAAACGAAGAATGAAGAATAATGCAGCAGCGAAAAAGTGCCGGGAAGCAAGGAACAATCGTTATACTTTGATGAAGGAACGAATCAAGGAACTTGAAATTGAAAATGCTGAGAAGAGCGAACATATAAGAACTCTTAAACAGAAAGTATTACAGTATGAAGAGAAATAAATGTGTTCTATATTGATTGCTAGCGGCAATATACAGTAGTTAAAAAACTCATTAATAATTCATGAGGAAAATACAAAAGAAATCACTGCCGTATCGGTGATTTTATATGTGATGAAAAATCATGTTCGTTAATTAATATAAACTTTAGCCTTGATTTTCTTGTAATTTATTCAATTAAATGTGACATTACTTAAATTTCGTGTTTAATTTATTCGCTTATGCTCTTATATCGAGGAGACAGCCTTCTGAACTGATTTTCCTGCCCTGGTGACTAGCGTGCAACACCCGCGCAAACCTCGTATACCTATAACTATATATATATATATATATATATATATATATATATATATATATATATATATATATATATATATATATATATATATATATATATATATATATCGTATACCTATAACTATATATATATATATTCTGAGTGTAGATTGCCCGATTTCTCAGTTGATTGCCCGATTTCTAACTAGATTGCTCGATTTCTAAGTAGATTGCTTGATTTTTCACTAGAATCTGCCCGTTTTTTAAGTACTGTAGAATCTGCCCGATTTTTAAGTAATCTGCTCGATTGAAAATGATTAGGTGCTCCAACCCCCTCCCCTCTCCCTAGCCCCTCCCTCCTACACCTTGCTAACCCTCTCCCTAGCCCCTCCCTCCTACACCTTGCTTACAAGATAGCTGCGGATTGAAAGGCTAGGCTAGCTCCCGACGAAGGGCTTTCGCTCGAGACGTCGAGGTTCCGCTTATATTTTTAAGTTAGTTGTGTCTCTCAATCCGTAGCCGTCTTTATGTTGGGCATTTCCTGTGCTAAAATTATTTCTTAATTCCCACCGCTAGCAGTTGGTAAATGTTTTTTTTATATAGGACGGAACGGTACCAGAGGAGACGGTTAAATTTGGCCATGAAACGATGTACCTCTATACGTGGGCACAAAGAAGACAGTATGCTGCATTTAAGGATCTTCTTGGTCCTGGAATAAATTTACATTTGAAGGTATAGAAATTTCTCTTTGTATAATTTTGTGGGTTATAGTCTAAAAAAACGAATCTCTTAAGACTTCTTAGTCCCAGATAAAATAATTAATTTTTTAATCGAAGATATGGGTTCCTTACTCTAATTTTCGGAACTTGTGATTACAAATAGCGCCACCACGTCTACAGCTTGACGTTTGTATGTACGATTTCACAACCATGCATCCGTTTGATTTCCAGTAAATAGTGTACTGTCAAATTACTCATTTTTATTGGCTGAGAGCATGCAGTGCAGTTTTGTTGTTATATATACAGGTCTTCAGTAGAATTGAAGAAGATGGTCGCATGAGGACAATGTTATCATCAAAATAATTTGGAAAGAGCCCAGCCCAAAATATATTTAAAAATATTTTTATACAGATTTAAGCAAGGTGTCATAACGGCAGGTGCATGTATGCATGCTGACTTAGTTAGAGGGGTGTTCATATGACGTCGCAGCAGTTAAGGGCCGGGTTCTTTGCGACTTATGACCGTTGCCCTGATTGCAACACTTTCCATATTTTTGACTTTCCTAGTTACAGCATAGTTTTGCGCTTCATTAGGCTGTCACTTCGTTTCACAACACAAATTCAAAGCAATGTTGAGGCTGTTCTAAAGCCATATATAGAAAGGATGAATTGTGAAACTTCAAGTTCCACCCTGTCCTCCCCACAAGCAGAGGAACAGACACCCCAGACCCATGCAAGCTGATTAGGTAAACTCAAATTTCTCTGCATATTACGGACCCAGCACAAAGTCCTGAAAATTTTGCATATATTTAAAACAATTATACTGGCTTACTGTATATCGTTGACGTTACTTTTAGGAGAATCAATTATTAAGGGAAATCTTCGAGCTAGGCCCACCTGTTAAAGTTGATGCTGGTGCCAATGGGAAAGCATCGAGAGATCGAAGGGTAAGTATATGCGATACATAGAATATACATCTTACAGTAGAAGACTATCGATGATCACATATTGTATCTTGATAATTTGTAATAATCGTATGGACCACAGACCATGATTCTACTATGATTAGGCTATACTAAGGCCCGGTTTAGACGCCGTACCTTTCATGAGCCGAACCTAATTCATATTTAGTCGACTAAAATAAACGTTTATTTAATTTTGATTCAAACAGGCGAACTTTTCATGAGCCGTACTTAATTAACTGCGCCTCTTCCCTTCAATTCCTCGGGCGTGTGACGTTCATAACAACAAAAATGGCGGTAGTTTTGAAATCTAATATCATACGATCTTCGTAGATTAAACAGCTATGCAAACCAAGCCTGGACGGAAAAGGGTTATTTTCATAAGAAAATTGCTTGCGAAGAACAAAACAAGAAGAAAATTCATAATATCTTGATAGCCACTGTTACTTTGAGAGGAATAGTGTTGCGAACTGCCATGTTTTACTGCCATAATGCATTCGATGTTGCGGTACACATTAATGCATTCTTATTTTGTTGCCCTTTGAATGTGATACAGGTAGCCATGTTGTCAAATGATTCCCGCGTGGTGCTAATTTTCCCGCGCGCGAGGACGAGAACAAAAGAGAACAATAGAAATATGCACATTTTACTATTATCATAATTTACGCATTTGGTACGGCTCATCACAAGCACGGCTGTATGAATCAACCCGTGCTTTAGCCGTGAAACACGTTTGAATCTAGCCTGCGTGTCAGGCTAGCCTGAACCAGGCGAACTTTTTAATTCGGCCGTGCATGCTTAATATAAAGTACAGTGCTTATCCGTGCATGCTTAATATAAAGTACATATGCATTGCTTATGAATTAAGTACAGAGCCATTCTCATGTACTTAATTCAGTAAATTAAGTTCGGCTCATGAAAAGTATGGCGTCTAAACCGGCTCTAACACTGTATTAGATTATTCATAACCTGCATGAGTTCTTGCAAACGAAGCAATATGAGTGTTGGTTTGAGTGAAGCTGATACAGTAAATAACATTTCCGGCTAATTAAATTTAAGAACAAAAAATGCAATTTACTTTAGTTCCTTTGTTACAATCAAGGCCAGAATCGATTTGGACACTCAGTTAATTTTGAAAAAGGTGTATAATATTGATGAAACGTATCTTTATGCCCACACCCCTACTTGCCTTCCCCAATGTTGGTTCTTATGGTGATGTCCACATTGTAACAATTGGTTGGGGGAGAGGGGGATTTATGGAAGCCAACACTACTGGACGCATATATTTATGAGTCGTCCAGGCGCCGGTTGTTTAAAAGGCGGTTAGCTTAACACTGGGTTAATGTGAAATTCAAAGCATACTTCCCAGTAGCTTGTTTATAAAATTGGAAATATTTTTTCAGAAATCTTGTCTCGATCATCGGAAGTTTAATTTTCTAAAAAATTTCGAAATAAACAGTCGTACATATATACATAAACCAAAGCAATGGGTTCAATTTAACCTACGGTTAGCGCTAATCCTTCTTTCAATAACAGACCCCTGGGACCGGTTGTTCAAAAGCCGATTAGCTTAACCCCAGGTTTACCTAAAATTCAAAGCAAACTTCCCAACAGCTTGTGTATAAATTTGGAAATATTGCGTTAGAAATCTTATCTGGATCAGTAGGAGTTGTCTTCTCTGACGTTTTGAAATAAACAGACGTGCAGAAATACATAAACCAAAGCAGCGAGTTAAATTTTAACCATGTAGGGTTAGCGCTAATCCAGCTTTGAACACCCCCCCCCCCAGATGATTTTGGCCTAGCCCTAGAGTTTAGTTTTTGTTGTAGTTCAGTTTTAATGTAGTCAATTTGATTTTTACTTTCCAGAAAATGTATAACATCGCAACATCGAAAGCAAGAACGATATCTCGTGGTAAACATCGTGATAAGCGAAGTTTCGTTCACTAAGTTTTAGAAATCATATATGTAGTACTGAAATTATGCACAATTTCTATGCAAAATCCACTAGGAATATTTTATTTAGTTTAAAAGTAACTTATAACTACAATTTGGTATCAGATGTCGTACTTGTGTACAATACACCATAATTTAATACGGTGTCTCGTAAAATTAATTTTTAACCTACTTTTTAACCAAATTTTGCTGTGTTTATTATGTCGCAATTTTGCCATGATCAACGCACGCGTATAAGCTGTGTACAGTGCCAATTTGTGTTTTACGAGCCGGAACCAAAAGTCGAGGATTTGAACTTTAAAACATGCTGAGTTGGACATAAGCACAGACAATCTGATATCTTTATGCTTTATATTTAATCTATGTTTCAAAGTGCTTCAAATGCAATTATATTTAATACAATGAAAATTATTTTAGGGTGAGGCTGGTTCAGGGTAAAAACCAAAAACGTCTGAGAAAACCCCGATTTTTCTGACTTATGTCAAAATACACTACAGTTAGATTAAACGTCACGGAACACCTTCAAGACTTTTGTTTTAAAATTGTATTAATGGTATAGTACTACCTTAATATGCGGTAAGCCAACGTTAGGTGCACTATTTTCCCACGTTTTTAACGGTCGTTTGAAAGTTGGAGGTTTCGTCAGAAAACGTCATGAACTAGCACCGTGATTTTGACAAGGGGCCATTTTGTTTCAATATTTCTGAGTGGCAAACAGTTCTTTCCGAATTTTTTCGGGGTTTTTGCCTAGAACAACATCGGCTGAATCGGGTTTTTGCCGGTTTATCGATTAACCGCCTCACTTTAATATTTTACATTCTTACATTCTTCGTCTATAGGTTCGCTTTCAATCTTAGACACATCAACATTTTCGAAAGCGCCGCTGAACGTCATTTTGCTAGTCCCGTTATTTCTTTATTGTTAGGCATACCGCTCAGGAATGAGAGCGACATATGTCACCAGATTAATTTAACTGAATTTTTTTATTATAAATAATGATATACAACAGGTTGAAATTTATTAATTTAAGCAACATGTTAAAGGTTACATGTTAGTATGAGGTAAATGGATCACATGATATCAAAGTTGCGAAAATGCAACTATATTGCCCTCTGGCATGAGCTCCATATATGTCTAGAGCGAGAACTCGAGTCCAAAAAGTGAAGACAAAATCGCGGAAATTGAAGAGATGTTGAACGTCAGTTCCAGTCCCTTTCTATTGTTTTTGTCTGCGCGGTTAACACGAAGCTGACAAGGAGTGTGCCGAAATTTCGTATTTTGACATCGATTTCAACAATTTGAACTGATAACTTGGTTAGCGATACGGTCCGTTGGAATTAGCTGGGGAAAATGATAGAACTATTTACGACCTTCATAGCTATTTGACGTCAATTTCCGCCATCTTGGCTTCACTTTTCTCATAGGCTCAAATGACTTTTCTCATATGCTCAAATGACTTTTCTCATATGCTCAAATGACTTTTCTCATAGGCTCAAATGACTTTTCTCATAGGCTCAAATGACTTTTCTCATAGGCTCAAATGACTTTTCTCATAGGCTCAAATGACTTTTCTCATAGGCTCAAATGACTTTTCTCATACGCTCAAATGACTTTTCTCATAGGCTCAAATGACTTTTCTCAGAGGCCGAATGACTTTTCTCATAGGCTCAAATGACTTTTCTCATAGGCTCAAATGACTTTTCTCAGAGGCCGAATGACTTTTCTCATAGGCTCAAATGACTTTTCTCAGAGGCCGAATGACTTTTCTCATAGGCTTAAATGACTTTTCTCATAGGCTCAAATGACTTTTCTCAGAGGCCGAATGACTTT